AGGTTAATTTGTGCAGTTGACCAATTGCAAACCATTTCATATTAGCTGTGTTCCACCATACAATTGTTTATATTTACACATATAAAATAATACCAACTTGCACATATTTGTACGGATCAGGTCAAACTGTTGGTCTCAAAGTTTACTCTGAACTTTCTGTATTATGTTGCAATGCAATAAGAGATTAATAGGGCTGTTACAGTACACAAAATGAACAGAGGACTGTTCATACAATTGCACGAGGTCACATGGAAAAAAGTAGTTTAAGTTTAAGAGCAAACGACCAGAGCTGTAGTCTTTCTGTCCCTTTTAGGTTTAAGGTTATGACACTGTCAAGGTTAGGATTCACTCCCAGGGATTTATTATAAATCAATACTATATCCTCACAAATGATGATGTATTAAGGAGAAAGAATCCAAGTCTGCTTGACTTTGACTTGGGGACTAACTGTCCTTCTTTCTGTTATTTTCCACATCTGATGTCCCAGTTTATCTCTTTTTAAATCACAACAGATTATTTTTCAATTATGAAGAAACCAACAGAGATTTCCTTTATTTAAAATTAGATTTATTCAAGCTGTACACAACGTAACACTTCTTACAATGCAACACCGCTGAAAAACAGCCTGAATACACCAAAACCATCTGAGGGAGAAAATTGCATAAATATATAATTCACTCTACAGATGATGCATTCTCTGTGTTTCATTGTGAGTCTGTGTATGATTTCATCAAAAAATGCTTAGAAATTTTGTTTTCAGCTGTTGAATGAGAGATAAATATATGAATTAATTCTAATTTTTCATTCTAAAAAATAAAGTCATATTACTCTGAATGTAAAACTGTTTCACTCTAAAAGGAAAACCCTGATCTCCATCAGTCCAGAACATCATTTTGGATAAATCAATATGGCTAACATTTCTATGATTTAAAGGACTGTGTTAAAGGTGTGTGTGAGTCTTATCCATAAATGTAATTGCTGAAGCTTTAATGTTGTTTCTGATCAGGCACTGGGAGCTAATGTGGAGGAAAGTCATTTCAGTGGCACTGTTGTAGTTAAAAGGTAAAGAATAGAGAAATTTACATCAGATAAGTTTCAGTTCAGAGATCCACTGTGAGATATAGAACCTGCTTATATTGTAGGAAATAATTCAAGTAACAAAGTTTAAGAAACACAATGTGTCATAACATAAAGTTTGTTTGCAAGAAAAGTCCACGGGGCCCTTTAATGTGGAAATAAGAATTTTAGAGGTTAAAGACAGCAACATGTCAGATCGGACAGGATCAGAGCAGAAGTGTAACGCTGACAGTTCAGAATAAAGAGTAAAATAGAATAACCAGACATCTTTGACCTTTGACCTGGACCCCTACTGCTGTATTAGAACTACAGCTGGCCTCTTCTCTGTTTGTCCAGATCTGTTCCTTTGTGGATTGGTGCTGGTACTGTGTGTGTGTGTGTGTTGTCATTGCTGGACACCGGCTGTTTACAGCTGCATGTCCCCAGATGGTCCACAGAGACACTGTGAGGTTCTGAACCCCCGAACGGAAATTGACTCGTCCAGATGTGTCACGTATCAACTCTTCACCTCGGGACTTCATCGCTGCTCTTATCCGAGGAAGAGCAGTGAAGAGGAAGCCCAGAGTTATTGTTGTTTTCACTCTCAATCATTAGGTATACATTTAGTCCAGCAGCAGCTCTCAGTCATGTCCTTCACGTCGGCACTCGAAGATCTTTATTATATTCTGCCAAAAAGTCGATATGTTTGTGAGAAAACCTGATGGCTCTCTCACAAGTCTATAACAATGTTTCCCAAATATATAGAGATGTACATCTGATAAATCACAACTTTATCAGCAGTAAAATAATTATATTTTAAATACTTTAAAAATGAGACAAAATAAATGTAAATTAGAGTAGTGAAGTACAGAAATTTTGTGTGTCTTGTTATTCCTCCTCTCACATGTGTATTCAGTCTGTGTTTTATTGGTGTTGTGTCAGTTCATCCTGGTTTGCTTGGTCTTTTGGTGCTGCATTTGTTTACTTACACCTGCCCATTAGTGGAATTACTACATTAAATCACCAAAACCATCCTGCTTCCTTTGCTGTCTTGCATTTGGGTCCAATCCTGATCTTCCCGCGTCGTGACAGATGGGTTCTAATCGCCAAAGACTTCACATTTTTCATCTTTATTGTGCACATCAATTAAATATAGTTGTTCATTCAACATGAAGTGCCTCCTGATTGAAATGCCATCAGAGTAACTCAAAGGTGCTATAACCTATAGTAGTTTAAGTAAGCTGGAAGGACTGCAGTATCTTGCCAGAGGACTCATGTTTTGCAGCCTGTTGCTCAGCAAAGACAAGAGGCCAGTAATGTCAGTGTGTAACAGCTGCGGCTGGATGATGATGAGCAGGAGGTCAATACTGAATTACAGCTTTCAGACAAAGCAAGACACTGACACATGATTGAGCCTTTAGTGCTTCATGGTATTGACAAGTAGCCTGGATGTTCATAAAGTAAAGATACAGTGTAGAAACTCTGCTGAGGGCAACATTATTTATAAATGTATGTTTGTATACTTATATTTGATGTGTATGTATGTTTGTGTACTGTGTACAGTATGTACATTCTCAGGTGTATGTATACAGCATATCGATGTGAATTTGCATGGTATGTGTATGTTGTGTATGTATAACTGTGCGCCACTATTATATGACAGATATAATGAACCTGTGTCACATATTGATACATTTTTGTTTCTTTATACTCGATCTTATGTAAGTAAAGCTTTGTAAGATAACTAAAGAAGGAAAAACTCTGCTGAAGGAGTTGAGGTGTTTTTCACAATAAAAGCTCATTAGGGGAGTGCACAACATGACTTTTACCCACATGTTTGGGCACTGCATGTGTGCATCACCTATGCGTTCACGTGTCCCTGTTGTCCTTTGGGGACACGTGCAGTGGAGGTCCTCCTGGCGT